TCCCTGATCTGTCAGGCAGTTGACTTTGGTATGTTCATGTCATCAAAATTCTAGGTGTTGTCAGTACTTGAGTACTTGGAGATGGACAGGACCAGAATGATGTTGTAATGTAGGTCCTTCAAGAGTCGAAGGCCAATTCAACACACAACTACATCAGGATTGCCCTTGGCAGTCTAAAATGACTGATAAGCCAAAAATTATCTTTGAAAAAATAATTTTGATCTCTAAATACTCTCTCTCTTCATATGTAGCCACATGCAATATCCTCTATCAAAACTAAATATGCCCAGATGATGTTGCGTGAGACATACTTTTTCTTGATAAATCCCAAAATCTTCATATAATAGTTTGTACAAATGTTTCTTCTCTCCAAGCTTTGTCTATGGGGGTTTGGTTTGACTTCAGGGGGCGATATGACCCCTAGAAAGCATTAATGTTTGTGGCTTTGACATGAAGAGAAATGTTTGCATAGTGGAATTACAGTGGCATTTAAAATGAAATCTGCTGTTTAATAAGCATGAGCGTGCACGGTCACGTCGATGAAGACTGACTGCCTTTTAAGAAAGAGGGTTCGCTGTGTGAGGTGGTATTTGCACCTGGGTAATTCCATCTAGAACAGCTGGAGGTTTTCATCTTATTTCAATTTGACGGCTTCAGTGAGAGTGTTTGGAGCAGCACGGTTTTAATCACGGATTGACATAACTGCTTCGTTAGTACGCATTTGGACGAAATGGAGCAGTACCATAAAAGAAGCACATGTGACAAAAAAATTCTGACTAAAATTATATCTATGTGCAATGATACTTGAATTTTCATTTAAATTTTGAATTCTTATGAACTCACAAATTTACACATCCTTACTACTATGGAATTGTTCCAAGTAACCAAAGGAAGGACATGAAATGTAAAAATCCTGCTGTGTGCACAGAAAAACTCAAAATTCCTGCAACTCTGTTTGCACTGCTTGTAGTGTTGATAGCAACGGCGTTGAGGGAACATGCCGTGACCAGGATGGCTAGAAGATCAGAGTCATGCACTGGCATCCTGCTAATCTAACGAGCTGAACAAGTTCGCTGTGTTGGCCTGATTGTTCCGGTTATCGCTTCCAAAGATGATTTGTGGCTGCCTTTTTGTTACTTTTCATTTGCAGGAGACTCATTTTCGGACTGTTTATGACACTTTAGGGGCGTTCATAAATCCTCATATAGACACGCAGCTAAGGTGGTGCTTTTATCAAGTGGTAAATTTAATCTGTACTTGCGATATATTCGGGGACAGCAGAGAGCTTGCTGTTTTCAGCATTGTCATTTTGTGGGTTCCTGTGTTGCGCCAAGGTACAATCTTGGCTGTGAAACCTGTGAATGACTTAAAAGGTATTTTTAGGATCCAAAGTACACAGTGCATTGGACACTATTGTTTTCTTCCTGTTTGTTCTTTCAGTGTATCTGTGTAGTTTTTGGGCCTAATTCAATTCTGTTCACCAAGGGCCCCCTTTTTTTTTTTTTTTTTTAAATCCCTGCTCAGACAAAGCGTTGTAAATGTATCTATAACTGTATCTCTTGATTTAAGATTGAAGAAGGAAATTTAGGAGGTCAAAGTGCCAAGTTTTGCCCCCCCCCCCACTCCACCCCACAAGTCTTATGGGCAACTTCCAGAAATCGAGACAAAAATTTGATGAATCTGAGGAAATGGAAACCTTCAAGTGTTTGGTAGACAGCATTGTGAAAAAGAAGTGAATCAGACTTACAGCTCAGCAGTATGTCATTGAGATCTTGAATTGCTGAGGAAATTCCCTCCCACTGTTCATGCAGGGATGTGGTTAGGAGACCGCTGAGTGGAGAAGGGCCCAGTAGGATTGTGATGGACAAGAGTCTGCAACTCTCTGCCTCATGACGACTACTAATCTGCCCCCTTTGCAGAATAACGTATCAGAACTATGCATGAGACCATCTTAAATGGGTCTGTCATGACGAGGGGGCTGGCTTTAATTGTAACGGTTGAATTACCCCTTCAAAATATACATTGAGACTCACCGCTAGTTGTTTCATGTCCCAACTCAGGTCAGGCTATGAGAGAGTTTTTTTTTCCTCTGCCACAGATAAAGCAGGTAAAGCCAACAGATACTTTTAGTGTGATAGAGGATGTGTCCCTGTTCTGTCTAGTTTTGTCCTGTCATGAAAATGAAATAGAGTGCTTTGTATCTGATAGCTGTCATAAACACAAAGGCGATCCCATTTAAATTCATTTTATTATTGATTGATATTATTGAATTTTGGCACCTGAAGTCTGCATACATTTCAGAGCTCAGAAATGTATTTTTTTTCAGTTGCCCTCTGAGAGGTAGTGCCTTTTCTACACAGTGAGTAAAAAAAAGTGTTTTATTAAGAAATGTAACTTTTTTAGTATTACAGCTAGGGGTGTGCAAAGCAGCCGGTATTTGTATCTGTATTTGTATTTGTTGAGGGGGGAAAAGTATTTGTATTTGTATTCGTATTCGAGTAAAATTCAAAATAGGCGTAAAAATCCATTTTTTTTTGCGTTGCACTTCTAATTTACGCTATAGTGTAAGTATTCTTTAATTATATCCATTATAATAATTATGGATATGCAGTAGACAGAGTAACTTAAACGTACCATATAACTCCTACAAGTGCATACAATTCGACACAACTACACAAGCATTGTTTTAACCTTTTTAACCAAACGTTAACGTTACTCTGTCAACAGCCTATTGTCTAAATTACCGAGCTAACAGAGCTACGTAAACAGAGCGAACATGAGAGCACCTGATTGCAGACGTCAATAATGCAGCGTAATGGAATAATCTCCCGATCAAACTCTGCTTCCCGAAAGTTATAAACTGCCTCCGGAACCCAGTTAAGGTACAAAAATCTATTCAACAAAAATAGTGATACAGTTAAATCTTTTTTCGCTGAGCCGAGCCTTCTCTGTTGCTGTGTGTCAGTCACCTCTTTTACTCCTCCCCCGACTCCTGAACTCACTCACTCACTCTTCCGGGCATGCACTGCGGTCTCAAGAGGAAACGCAGCTTTTTGATATAAAGTTTTTCTTGTTCCCGAATACAAATATTTTTTTAAGTATTTGTTCGAAATAAGTATTCGTAAAAAACACATTATTTGTGCCTTTCCGAATACCGTATTCGGGTTCGGCTCCACCCCTAATTACAGCTACATGGCATTATGCTTTATAGCTCTTTGGAAAGCTCAAAAAGAATACTTTTTCACAATATGGTCAAATTCGACATTGGAATATTTTTTCAAGGTCAAATTCCTTCTCATGAGCTGCATTTTTTTTTTTTTTACTAAATTTGTTTATTACAAAAACAGTGAAGCTTTTGGAGTAACAAGTGTGTATGTGTTCTTGTCGTATGTAAAACCTTGACTTCCAACTTGGTCTCCTTCATGAGACAGGCAAATTTACTTTTGAAAGGATAAAAGATATTTTTGAGCCTCAAAAGTCATGTGTTTTTTCATTTAACTGGGGAAAAATACTCTTTATATGCTTTTCGGTAATGAACAGACTTGGGATCCAGTAGCAGGGTGAATTTACGTTTAATGTGCAGCCTCAAATCGTAATTGCAAACAGGCAGGTTCAAAGCCAGAAAGGCAGTGAAGCGAATCCGGCCAAAGAGGAAATACAAAAGCACACGGTTCAATGCTCAGGGGACGATGATCTCTAGAGGTGTAGCAGTTCAGGTGACTCGACATAGTTTGGTCCGTTCAGATGCAGACGTGACACTTTCAAACGAACAAAAAAGAAAAGATCTGTTATTCAAAGGGGTGTAGGGGTTACGTGACTGAACTTCCAGGAATGATGTGGATGGACTTCACCTTGCAGGACAAAGAAGAAATTCTCTGAATAGTCTGCCAAAGTACATTAAGCACTATACACTACATGTTAGGAACACCTCAGGTACACTTCAGGCTATTTAATGAACAAAGGTGTGTAGCCTCAGGGATTTATTTGTTTATTTTTATATGCAGAGCCTCCTAAATCCTACACACCTTTGAAAATCAAAACATTTTTTTGTTTGAAAGCAGATAAAGTCTGAGGCAGCTGAGAAACATAAAGCTGCCTCTTCCTTTCTTTTTTACTTTCATGCCATATTTTGTGTTTATCTAATTACTGCCTACATGTCTGTAAAGCCAAAGCTTTGGATTTTGATATATCCACCACTCTTTTATTGTCTTTTCTGTTTTTAAGCTACTTACAGCAATGGTAATCCTAGACGACTTCTTGCAAGACAAATGAGAAATTCTTTGAATAGCCCCCAGTGTTTCCCCTGTGTTTACAGCTTTGATAGATTGACACCGACAGGATTCATGGTGTTTATGTGTTTCTTTTAATGACAGCAGTCAAAAAACGCAGATATTTTTGTCTGCATTTCAGGTGGTTGACGCGACATATTTTCTGCGGCTCTCTGTCCTCTGGTGGGAGTGTGCTCACCTGTGTGTGCGTGCACGTGTCTGTACACGATGGTCGGGGTGGAACTCCGCCATGCACGATACAGAGAGCAGAGGAGAATTGTAAACGCGCGACCGTGTAGAGACAAAAAATGACAAGCTGTTGTGTAAATAAGTTTGTTTAATAAAAGGACAATGTATAGACCTGTCCTATAGGAAAGGTAATCTTAAACGACTTCTGTTGTGATCCGGCGCTATATAGAAAATAAATTAAAATAAAATGAACTTGACCTTCAGGGGGGGGGGAGGGGGGGAGATACAGTGCCCCCCCAAAACATGTTATCCCCCTTGAATAGCATTTTTTTGTTTGCTGTCAGTTGCACTACCAAGCGAGGGAATGATCCAGGCACAGCTGTTTTTATGCTTCACTAATCACACTGATTACAGCTGATCACAGGTGGAAGCCAATAACCATGGTCTGATTGAGTTTACGCCTGATTGAGTTTACATTGTTTAGGAGAGGGGTGATCCTTTATTAATCTCAGTATTTCTTGTTTTTTATTTTTTGCAATTCTTCAGAACTGTAGCTGTGAAATCGTTCACTTGGATGTCATAGGTTGCATTGAATAAGTACAGCTGGCAAAAATATCGGTTTGTGTGTTTTCATTTAAGACTGTAAAGCAAAAAAAAAAAAATGGGAATATTTCAAACTGGTTGATTCTTTTCTATACCCACTGTATAAATTGTCTTTGGATTATGAAAGCTCTTATTGACCTCAGCACGCAACACCTCTTTGAGTATAATTATGACATTTTTAATTCGACATAGCACAGTGACCTTGCTGACCTTTGCACGGCTGTTACTGAGCTGGTTTGTTCTCTAATCAGTCTCACTGCTGTGATGGAATCCCCGTCCCATCGAGGAAGGAGGCAGATGTGAAATGGGAAGCTGGTCTGGGGGTCTCTGACCGGTGGGTAAGTGTCCAGATGAGTCCTAGTCAGTTGTGTTTATAGCCTGGACACAAACCGTGAAAGTTGCTGGTTAATCTGTGCTACTTCAGCAAAGGGATGAAACCTGGGGGTCTTTATTTTTGCACATTCACATCAATGCAATGTCACAGGCAATCGCCAGTCTCTACCCTTTTTCGTTTCCATTTGTGTCATATCTCATATTTACCTCATTGTTCCCCGCATGTCTGGACGTCAAAAGCTTGGATTTAGATGTGTCAGTCACTTCTGGTTTCTGGATTTGTGTTCGTGATGATTATATGAGATGTGCATATAAATAAAAAGTCTTTGATGTATTTTAGAAAATCTGAACCCAGCTGGATCTTACAAAGGTTGTGTCATGGTGGAGTTGGGCTTTTGTTCTGGGGATTAAGTAGCATGTTCAGCTAATTTGACTGGGGTTTGGCATACAGTAAAGGTCTTAGGAAAGGTTCCTGTTTGTGACCTTGTTGACTACCCACAATACCCACAATTCCTTGCATAATAATGGAAATTATATAAAGGGGCACCATGCATGCTTAGCAACACCTCCGTCTCACAGTTTCTTTTTAGCATCTTTGCGATATTTTAGGTTTTTTAAGACGTTTCTGCTGCATGGACTTGACAGGATACTTTCATGTGTCTGCATTTGTTGCTGCTCTTTTGTCTGCATGGGACACAGATTCGTTTGAAGGCAGTGTTGACTGTGCAGTATACAGATTAGAAAATGCCTTCTTTATGTGTGTCGGCCCGGTTGTTCTTCATTTTGAGGGCTTGCAGAGAATGGGTGCAGCCTTGTGAACATACTTGGAGAGGAATACGTCCTCGCCCTTGATTATTTCTGCCACGTCTCTGGGCATTTTAGTTCATATCTGAATGAGCAGCTCACATAATCTGACACATTCCATCAGCAATTAATGAGCTCATGTCTTCGCCGTTCTGTGGATCCTCTGGGAATAAGTTCCAAAGGAGGTCACTGCTCTTCTGTCTGTCAGTAATCAAACAGACACCAAGAAAAGCTTCTATGCCACTCATAAAATGACCCTCCCCCCATAACCCCTTATGCAGTACTGGGTCACAGTCATCTTGGAGCCTATCTCAGTAAGCACAAGGCTGAGTCGGTCAACCTGTTAATTAGGCAGGCCTGGACTGGGATTAAGAATCGACCCTGGACATGATGAATTTTGCTGGCCCACAAAGCCATTGGCCCACCGGGACCATGCCTGGTGCCTGGTTTGCCAGATGGCCAGTGTTGGCTTGCCATCAGGCCTTGGCACCAACTTGTCCTGGTGGTGAAGCTCGCCTAGGCTCACATGGGCTTCCACTGACTAGCTGCATATGGTACCAGTCTTACCTAAAACATGTCTTTGGGCAGAAATTGGAGTTCCTGGAGGAATCCCGTGCAACCAAATGGAGAACAAGCAGACAAACAAGAGTAAGTGAGGGAGTTTGTACCGCAGTGCAACATGCTCTGCGTCTTCATGTTGCCCGGAATGGTCACACTGTTCTTGATATTAAGTTTGATGTTTAGTTTGTATGACTGTTACGTTTTTGTATGCATTAGTTGAATCTCCATAACCACACAACCCAGGAGAGTGCAATCTTGAAGGACAATTTGTGCTGATGGAGCAAGGTGAAGATGTTTGTTAGGGTGCACTCACACTAGCTGGTCCGTACTGTGCCCAAGTACAATTGACCCCCAAAGTCCAGTTCGATTGACTAGGGTGATCACTCCATACCATGCCCTGGCCTGCTTGAAGAGGTGGGCCAGGGCACAGTGAGTCGCATCTAGTGTGATCGCTAAGCATACCCAGGTACGGAACACAGAAATGATGTCAATGATGCAACTGACACGCATGCACACATGTACACTAGGGCTGCCGTGATTAGTCGATGTGGTCGATGACGTTGGCGCTGAAATGTGTGTACAGTCATATCTTAAACTGACACATCATTTATCTAAAACGCTTCAACCCATTATAACAAGTGTTTTCCTTTAATATCACTGCATAATTACAGGAGTAGTTTGTACACTGTGCGATTTCGATGGCGTACCACAGCGGCACGAGCGATATGCACGAGCACCTGAAGGGGAAACACAGGCGCCGTTCTGGAGGATGTTTATGTCTATTTATGTTTATTGAATTACCATTAATACACTTGCTAAATATACTTATTATTAAAGCCATGAGGTTGCCAGCCTGCTACCTGAGAATCTCCATTGAATAAGTTTGAGAAAATGTTTCGGTTAAAATCTGGGCTTATTCTACATTGACGGTGCCCGTGTGTGTGTTCGTGCTCACTGGGCTTATTGGGAGCAGTTTTATTATCGAAAAATAAAACCAAAACAAAACGGAAACTAATGAAAAAAAAATCATTACCCGAAATAAAAATGGAAACTATGTTACCAAATAAACGAGTCAGGCTTTAATCAGCAGAGTACCCTCACCCCACAACGTCTGTTTACCCAGTTTAACCACAGTATCTCCCCTTTAAAAAGACGTTCTGGTGGCTCAGCCGTCCCTTTCTTCACCTCCACTTCAGTACTTACTGCTTCCATTATTTACCCACAGGACAGCATGTGGTGCTTCACCATATTTCATAAGCATAAAGATACGCCGAATTTATAGATTACTGATGTTTGGGCATCACAATACGAATCTCATAAAAAATTTAGGCATCAAAAAATAATTTATGTTTACTCAGTATAGATATTTACTTTTAGGTCACATAAGTCTGGAGAGAATGTCTGCTTCCTTCTGAAAAAATCAATTATGTGAATTGGATTCTCTCTGGTCCACACTGACCAATTCCATTATATGGGGGGGGGGGTCGGCTGTGGTCTCATCCCCCCGTGGTCCTGGTGGGTGGTGGGCTGGGTCTTGGAGCTATGGGCGTCTAGTGGCTTCTTGGAGCTGGGGGGCTGTGACTGCTATCTTGTGATGTCTGGGTGTCTGACCTGGCTGGTGGTGGTGGGGGGGGCTTGGGCAGGTGCTGCCTGGCGGTCATGGGGCGTGGGATCTGGGGTGCTTGTGGTGGTGGGGGCTGGCCCTGGGATGCGGCCTTTTCGGTGCAGGCCTGGGTGAGGGGTTGGGGGCTCTGGCGCCTGGGGGCCTGGCCATTTCCTCGGTGAGTGCCTCCCTGCGCCGGGGTGGCCTGTGCTCCCCCTGGGGCGCCGCCGGGGGGGGGGCGGGTTGGTCCATGTCTGGGCATCCGGCCTGTGCAGTGTTGGGGGTAGCATGTCTCGTGCCCGGGCTATTCTGCCACATTTTTGTTGTCGAGTGAGTGGGCGTTTGAGTGCGGACTGCCCTTCGAGGTGGGGGGGGTTGTTGTTGCCGGGGGCCCCGGGTCCACTCCTTCCTGCACAGTGGTGGGGGGCTGAGGTGCCTACTGAACCAGCTGGCTAGCTGGCTCTCTCTTGCCTCTCACACAGGTGCATGGGGGAGGAGAGTGGGCGGGTATTCCTACACCCCTGCTCCCTGTCAGAGATGGTGGTGGGGGGGGGGGCTTGGGTGGTTGCTTGGCTGGTGGCGCCCTGGGGTCACGGCTGCCACCGGGAATCGCGTCCGTTCTCCCGCACGTTGGAGGGCAGTCCGGAGTGGATGGGCTTATGTCTTTTTGTCTCTATGTGTGGGTGTCTGTGTATGTTGTGGGAATGTGTGTATGGTCTATGTGCATGGCTGAGAGGTGTGTCTGCAAGATGGTCTGTGTGGCTGGTGGGGGCCTGGGTCCGGGGCTTGCTGCTTCACGCCTGGGCGCGGTTGACCTCCTGGGCATGGTTGCTGGCCCTTTTCCTTGGGGTGGTGGCCTGGGGGGGCTCGGGCCTCTCCGGCGTGGGCGGAGCTCTCTCCGGTCATCTGGGGTCCTAGGGGCCCTGGCTTTGGCTCGTGCGAGAGCGGCCCTCCCCTCGCGGGGTCGGCTGCCTGATGCTTCTGGTTCTCTGGGGCTCATGCCCTTTCGGCTGCGGGGGCTGCGTCTGGGACCTCCCTCCTCCCCTGGCTGGGGTGGGGGAGCGGCTGTTGTTGGGATGTGGGGCCCTGGCTCTTCCGTGCTCTTCGGGAGCTGCGGACGTCCTTGGGCCTGTCTTCCACTTTACTCCTGTCGTTCTTGACTTATCTCTCTCACTTACTCTTTTTTTTACAGTTTTTTTTTTTCTTCCCCCTCCTAATCTGTCCCTCCTCTTCGGCCAGCTCAGCCACTGCAATATTTAACATGTGCTAAAAATGAAATAAATAAAATAAAAAGAAATCGATCAACATGAGGGGCCTATACAGAGTTTATAGAGCCCCTCATGGTAAAGCGAACATGTTTGGCACAGCAGTGCATTCAGACCATGATTCTGCTAAAGCTGCCGGACAGGATGAAGGAATTAAAAAATAAATTAGGCATACTACTAAACTGCGTATGAAATTATGAGCGAAAATAATGTCTGTATAGTGCCAAAAAGGTTAATTATATGGTCAATATGATTTTCTGGAAGAAAATTAATCGTCTAGATTAAGCGACCAATAGTAAAACAGTCGTTAATGGCAGCCCTAATGTACACTACACATGAACCGAATCCAGACGCAACGGAGCAGACAGGCTGTACAGATCGTGTCATTTCTAAACTGCGTTGCGACAAACAGTGACTCATACAGATCGGGTAGCTTCAACCATTTCACAATCATGGAGGCAAAAGATCACTTTGCTCTACAGTATTGTTGTCACGATACCAAAATTATAACCTCCATACCGATACCAGTTTAAGTATCACAAAACTAGTGCTGCAAAGATACCAGTGTGGAAAAACCAGTTTGGTTCATGGCAAGTTACATACTTATTTCACTGATTTTCAGCAGACATCTCAAATGCATTTACATTAGATTCAACTTGATTGTCATTGTACTGGTAAAACAAAAAAAGTTTAGCATCTAACCAGAAAGTGTAAAGGAGCAATAGTCAGTGAGTGCAATAAGTCGGCATACAAATGAGAATATGCATATTGT